CCCTGCCCCTATGAACATCAGCAGTCTCTGCTCAATGCCACTCGGGGGGACCAACGGCATATCTCTAGGTGGCGGGCGCCAAGCTTGCCCAGGAAACTGCATGAGGCCAATGACCCAAGACCTCCTGAATGCCACTTGCGTGCCTTACCAACTGAGCTATGCCGCTGGATACGTTTTTTTTTTCTTTTTTTCGCATTTGCGCTCTGATATTCATGTGACAATATATATAAATAAAATTTAAACACGTCGTCATTTCATTTCGAAAAAGTAATTATGCAGTCGGGGCTGGGGTCCCCACAATTCCTCCTGCTGGAGTCACCACGTCTGGCAGCAGCCTTATTCGGTTCGTTTATAAACAGACAGAAAAACGAATAACATCAAATTGAATCTCCTTTCTCTCACATTTGGTGAGTATAAGTAGTGTAGCACTGAGCGGAACCACACTGTCACAGTATGTAAGGAAAGCGGTACGAGGAGCTTGCAAACTTTTAAGGGGAAGCTCATTTTTCCACCTTTTTTTTCCACATTTTTTGGTGAGGTAAATCCCTTCCCCCGCCTTACATTCAATTTGATCTACTCAAGTTTGCCGATGAAGTGCAGTGCACTGAAGTTACAGCGAAGATTGAGTGAGAATGCCGTAGGGACGCGCGCAATGGTAGTGCGGCCCAGCGAAGCCCCGTGTTCGCCTGGAAGGCGACGGTGACGGTGGCCGCCATAACCAGCAAGGTGACGATGACAGTGGCCGCCATCGCGAAGGCATAGTGGAAAGGACAGCCGTCGTGGACAACAAGCTTCGTCTCCATCATAGGGCTTGCGCAGGTCGGGATATTGATCGAGATCGGTATCTGGCGCACGATTACGATGAATGCAGTGAAGAATTGCGACCAGGGACGGTGATGGCGACTACCCCGCCATCGCCTGGAAGATGACGGTGACGTTGCCCGCCATCGCCAGGAAGGTGAGGATGACGGTGACCGCCATCATCACTAAGGCAAACTAGCCGAAAGGACGGCCGTGGTGGACAAGCTTGCTCTCCTTATTAGGGCTTTCGCAGGTCCGTATATTGATCGCGATCGATATGTGGCGCAGCCTCAATGTCTATCTAAGCACCGGTGTGTGTGTGTGTGTGTGTGTGTGTGTGTGTGTGTGTGTGTGTGAGAGAGAGAGAGAGAGAGAGAGAGAGAGAGAGAGAGAGAGAGAGAGAGAGAGAGAGA